GCACAGGATCCTTGCAGCACTAAATATTATTAATAGGTAACTATATTGGTAGTTAATAGGATAAGGTAAACGCTCAGATCGTTAGTGCCGTGGCAAATTATTCACTAATTACAACTAAAGACCTCCTTAGCAAAAATTACAGCCCAACACAAACCCTGTGCTTGTCCTGAAAAGCTGTGCTTGCCTTTTTTTTTTTTTTTTAATTTTAATCTAAAATAGGTTGCACAGCTGGCTGGAGATGGCTGATCCTTGACAGCCTGGCCTCCTGCAGAGCTCCCCAGCTCCCTTTTTTACATGGTTTCAAGGCCTCTGTCCCTTTGATGCCAGGTGAGGTTGGACCAGCCCACCCATGGGATTGCTCTTTGTAGGGACAGAGTCTCCGTGCATGACAAGTTTTCCCCTTGGGACCCTGTTTTATTTAGGGGCTCTTGAAATATCTGTGTGCAAAGGAGTGGAGGGTGCAAGTGCACCCAGCTGGGCACTTCCAAGCCCATCTCAGCTGCAGAGGTCACCAGGCTGATGCTCAGCTCCAGCTTGCAGGGGGGAGCCTGGGGCTCCTGGCTGTGCTCAGCTGGCCTGGTCCCACTGCTGGCTCTGGGCAGAGCTGGGGAATGGTCCTGCTGCTGCCCAGGGTCCTCAGGAGAAGGGCAGGAGGTGCCCAGGTGACACAGCCATCTGCACAGGGACAAGGGCAGGCTGGTGGCCCGGGGGGATTATGGCTGGTTTGCCTTTAATCCGATGGGATTTGCCTCCAGCGCTGCCGGCAGCCGAGGGAGGACGTGCTGGGCAGAGGAGCTGATTCTGCTGTGCCAGCAGCACCTCCCTCACCTCAAAAGCCACCTGGAAACAGCCACTGCCTTGGAAATGTGCTTCTGGAGGGGAATCTCATGGGACCTTGGGGCATTTTCCTCTCTCTGGGATGTGGCTTTGGCTGTGGGCTCCTTCAGGATGGCCAGTGCAGCCTGTGGGAATAGGGCAGCTGTGTCTGGTCCCAGTTTAGCATCTCCCTATCCTGGGGGTCCCATCCCCTGCAGACAGGGTCAATGGGATTAGTTAAGCCATAATTTTTAAACAAAGGCTGAGATTTACTTCCATGGCTGGCACTGGCAGGAAGAGCCAGCGGGGGCTGTAGATGGAGCCTACTGGGATGGCTTTTGGGGCAAGTCCTCAGCTTTCAGCCCCTGTCCCCAGCTGAGACTGGCACCAACCTCCCCTGGGGCACATGGGGCACTGAGCAGGGGCAGGAGCACAGGCATCAATGCAGCAGTGCCCCCCAGGCGTGGGGCACAAGCCCTGGTGGTGGCAGGGCCAAGGGCTGACACAGCAGTGCTGGGGCAGGGTTTGGCCTCAGCTCTGGCTGCTGCTGCCTCTGGCTGCCTGCTTTGAGCACAGAATTAAATAACGGGCTGCCCAGGGGCAGAAGCACCCAGAGCCTTTACCCAGCCCATCCCGGTGCCCTGTGCTGGCACCCGTGGCCGCAGGGTGTCCCTGTGCCAGCACTGTGCCTTGCCACTGTCTGGGCTGACTGCAGGCTGTGCAAACCTGTGCTTCCCTCACCAGGGATGAGCTGGGAATGAGTTTTTCTGGTTTAGCAGCTTTGGAGAGCCAGAGGCTGCAGTGCCAGAGCCCAGCAGGGCGGTGGTGGCTGGGGCACAGTGCAGGGCATGTCACACACGAGGGTCCTCACCCTTCTCTGTCAGCTGGACAAGGTGGCATCGCTGCCCCTCATGGGGAAAAGCAGCTGACAGCTGCTGCCAGATGTGAGCCAGCAGATGTGCAGGACACACATTTTTTTTGCCGGGAACCTGAGGCAGTTGGGGTTTATTCCTCCTTTCCAGCAGCCGCTCTGTGCAGCCTTTCCTGAGATGTGGCTGTCCTTGACAGGCTCTCCTTCCCTGGGAGGAGGTGTTGGATTTACAGCAGCCCACGATAAGGTGGCTGTGGCTGGGAAGGTGCTTCCCTGCCCCCAGCCATGCCCAGGGGGTCACTGACACGCTCCTGCTGATTCCCTGGGCTTTCCTGTGCTGGTGCTTCCCTGGAAATCCTGGCACGACTCAACCTCTTGTTTAACAGCAAGGAGGACCCTTCCTGGGAGGGAGCACAGAGCTGGGTCTGCCTGCTGTCAAGAGGGAGTTGTAGCCTCAGGGGGATGTGCTGGGAGCCTGCAGCACCCAGGGATGCTCCCAACCCCTGGCAGGGAGACTGGGTGATGGCAGCGTGGTCCTCACCTGCTCTGCCCATCCTGTGGGAGCCCCCAGCACGCACTAAACCCTGGCTGGGCAAATCACAGAGAGCCTGTGCTCCATTTTCCAGCTTTTCCTCACTGCTGGGGTGGCTTTCTCCATGTTTCAATGTAATTTTTTTGCCATCTCCTGCTTTTGCTCCAAGTCAGTGTCAGGAAGAGCTCTGGATGGCCCCGTTCTCCCCTGGCTGTGCTGTTGCAGGCAGCTCTGAAGGCACTTTGCTCTGGAGGCTTTGTTTTTTCCACCTGGCCGAGTCCTTCCAGGCGAGCTGCCTATAAATTATGTAGATGGAAAATGGGACCTGAAAGCAGCAGGCATCAATAATTGATGGTCGACGTTTGCTCAGGGGCTGGCTGCATCCAGGCATGGCTGTGCCATGGGGCTGGGGCAGAGCTGTGTGACCCCACTGTGTGCCATGGGGCAGAGCTGTGGGACCCCACTGTGTGCCATGGGGCAGAGCTGTGGGACCCCACTCTGTGCCATGGGGCAGAGCTGTGTGACCCCACTGTGTGCCATGGGGCAGAGCTGTGTGACCCCACTGTGTGCCATGGGGCAGAGCTGTGGGACCCCACTCTGTGCCATGGGGCAGAGCTGTGGGACCCCACTGTGTGCCATGGGGCTGGGCAGAGCTGTGTGACCCCACTGTGTGCCATGGGGCAGAGCTGTGGGACCCCACTCCTCCCTCCTGGCCCAGAGTTACCTCCCCCCTACTCCTCACCTTGTGCTTTGGGCTCCCTTTTGGGTCTCAGTGCAGGATTAAAGCCTGATCCAGCCCTGGACAGGCCCTGCCTCTGTTGGAAGCTGATTGCAGAGCTGCAGCCCAGGGTTAAGCTCCTTTATCTGTGGTGCCCAAATGTTTGGTTTTGGGGTATCCCCCAGAGGGGTGCAGATGGATCTGTGCTGATGGCTTTGGGGTTTTTATAAGCTAAACCCTGTCCCTGTGGCTGTCAGGATGCAGGACACTGTGTCCATATCTGACATATCCTGGTGCTTCTGCTCACCCCTTGCTGCTCCCCCATCCCTGTCCACTTTTCCCTTTTTTCCCACCTCAAGTCCCAGCCCTCCTGCCTGGCCAGGTCCTGTGCCACAGCATGCTTTCCCCACACAGCCCAGCTCTCACAGACAAGGAGCAGGCACCAGCTGTCTCCTGGCTGGGCTGGAAGGAAACTCCCCTTAAGTGGAGAAGTGCCTGACCTGGGGGCTGCTCCCAGCTCAGGGCCGGCACATTCCGGTGTTTTGGCTCTGTGAGGGAAGAAAGAACCCTGGTCATTGCCCAGCGTTCATCAGGGCAACGTGGAGCACTCTGCAGGGCAGGTGCTGACCTCCTGGAGGGTCTACAGGACCCCAAAATCCTGCCTGGCACAGGTGAGCCCTTCTTAGGGAAGGCTGCGGGCTGNAAAAAAAAAAAAAAGAAAAAAGATTTTTGGCTGGGTATCCATTCCCTAGGTTTGAGCTTCTTCCTGGGGCATTTTGATCCCACTGAGAGTGAGGTGATCAGCAAAATGGCCCAGGGAGGATCATCACATCCTCACCCCATGATCCTCTGTGGGAATGTTCCTCACTCGGAGTCACCAAATGCGGTGCTGTTCACAGGGGTCCTAGGATGGGGGAAGAGATGAGAATCTTGACTCCATGTTTCAGAAGACTGATTTATTATTTTATGATATATATTATATTAAAAGAAAATGATATATTAAAACTATACTAAAAGACTAGAAGAAAGGAATTCATCAGAAGGCTTGCAAGGAATAGAAAGGAATGGAATGAAATTTTTTGACTGACCAGAGAGTCTGAGACAGCTGGGCTGCCGTAGACATATTTTTGTGAAAATCCTTTCTTAGGATTTTTTTCCCTTCTGAGAAGCTGAAGCCTCAGAAACAAAATGTAAACAATGGTTATCTGCTGCTGTGGAATGCATCAGGTAAATTTTTGATTGACACATCTTTGGATGTTTATAATTAATGGCCAATCAAGGCCGAGCTATCTTGGACAGAGTCCGAGAGAACTGCCTTTTGTTATCATTCTTCTCTATTCTATTCTTAGCTAGCCTTCTGAGAGGAAACCTTTCCTTCTATTCTTTAGTATAGTTATAATGTAATATATATATCATAAAATAATAAATCAAGCCTTCTGAAACATGGAGTCAACATTCTCATCTCTTCCCTCATCCAAGAATCCCTGTGACCACTGTGACACTGGACCGTGATTGGCCATTATTACAAACAACCACATGAGACCAGTCACAGATCCACCTGTTGCATTCCACAGCAGCAGATAATCATTGTTTACATCTCGTTTCTGAGGCCTCTCATCTTCTCAGGAGAAAAGATCCCAGCAAAAGGATTTTTCCTAACCTATGTCCTGACCATGCTCCCCGCAGTCCTCGGAGCACATCCCGCCGGGTTACGAGGTGGTTTCCCTGCTGGAGGCCCTCAATGGGCCCCTGNCCTCTTCAGGACAGGAAAGAGCTGAGGGTGGTGCTGAGATTGGAGGGGGTCCTTGCTTCCCCCAGGTGCCACCACCAGGTCCTTGCCATGCTCTGCCGCCTCCCTCCCTGTCACATCCTGTTCCCTTTTTTTACCTTCAGGTCAGAACAGAGACCAGGGGAAATAATTCTCCCCTCCAGACCCCTCCAGGTTGTCTGTGGAGTTGTCCCTGTCCCCTCCTGTGCTGTGTTTATTTTACCCTGTGGATTATTTTAGCCCTTTTTTTTGACCTTCTTACCTCAGCCCCAAGAGGCATCTGGGAGGGGACGAGTGACACACACACCCCATGCCATTTTCCTGGCATCTCTGTGCTCTGGGGAGAGCAGGAGAGCTGTGGGGACAGCCGAGGTGCCCTGACCCTGTCCTGTCTCCCTGGCACAGCTACACCCCCAGGGACAACAGCCTGCAGTCGGAGACGGTGCACTACAAGCGGGGGGTGTGCCAGCAGTTCTGTGTGCCCTCCCACACCATCGACCCCTCCGAGTGGAGCGAGGAGGAGGTGGGTCCTGACTTCATCCCTCCCGTGCAGATGGAGGCGGGAGGAAGGCTCAGCCCTGCTCCATCTCACCAAGCCTCCCCTGTCTCTCTCCAGCTGGGCTTCGACCTGGACCGTGAGGTTTATCCCATGGTGGTGCAGGCAGTGGTGGATGAAGGAGAGGGTGAGGAGGGGGCTCCTTGCTGGGATGGCCTTTCCTGGTTTGCTGGCATTGTGATGCCAGCTGGGCAGAGCCTCCTGCTTTTCCTTACTGCTCCCGTGGCTCTGCCTGTCCCCTGCATGTCCCCAAGCCCTGAGTGCTCCTTTGTGTCTTGCAGAGCACAGTGGGCACTGCCACGTGCTGCTGGCCACCTTTGAGAAGGTAAGTGCCAAGCTGGGGCCATCCCCTTCCTCCTACCTCCATCATCCACCGTGTACAAGAGCCTGGAGAATCCCTGGGAATTGGGATGGTGCTGCTGGGCTGGGGATGTTCTGGGCTGCTCCCAAATCCTAGGACTGTTCCCTCATTTCTTCTAAGGCATTTGGGCTCAACTCCATCTTCCTTCCTCCAACAAGCTTTGCAGTGTGTGTGACCTCCCACAGCTACTGGTGCTGGGCTGTCAGGAAAAGCCAGAATTCCTGCAAAATGGGCTTGTAGGGAGCAGGGAGGGAGCAGTGACAGCCACAGGGTGGGTGGGTGCCCACCCTTGTGCTCTTTCCTTCCCCCAGCACAGTGATGGCACCTTCTGCGTGAAGCCCCTCAAGCAGAAGCAAGTGGTGAGTGTTGAGGTGTCCCTGAGGTGCAGGTGTCCCTGCACACCCTGCAGGGGAGGCACTGAGGGGTTTTGGGGAGCCCCAAAAGCTCCAGGCCTCTCCCAGCCTTTTGCATTGATAACCTTGAAATTGCACTCCCCCGCCTCCCAGGGATTGCAATTTCCAGGTTATCAATGCAAAGAGAGCCCCTGGATGCTGGGGGGAGGAGGACTGGCCCAAGCAGGGGTTTGGGAGCCCCAGGTGTGTGTGCTGCTCACCCCTTGCCCATGGGATTGCAGGTGGATGGTGTGAGCTACCTCCTGCAGGAGATCTACGGCATCGAGAACAAGTACAACACACAGGACTCCAAGGTGTGTGCTGCACCCCTGCCTGCATCCCAGGGCCTTCCCTCATCCCTTCTTCCCTTCCCCTAGCACAGGTCTGGCCACTGAAACACTCTCAGGACAAGAGTTTGCAGCACAGCACGGAGCTGGTGATGGCTGGGGACATTTTGTGTTGGCATCGAAGCTGCTGGAGGCAGAAAATTGAAGGATTGAGCTTTTCCCCACATCCTTTGTGGGCCCTTGGGGGAAGATGATGGCTTAGATGGGGAGCATGGGGCTCTGGCATGGGATGGATGGGGAACATCGGGCTCAAGGCATGGGATAGAGGGGGAACATAGGGCTCAAGGCATGGGATGTGCCTTATGCTGTTATAGGACACAAAATAAAATGACACACATGCTGGAACCTCCAAGGTAAAAAGAAGGGAAGTTTATTTTCTGACTTCAGCATTTATAGATTTTAAAAGTGATAGTGGATTAGAGGATGAAAGTGCCACCTCTCCAATGGCACTGGACAAACCAACAGTCCAGGAAATTTCTCCTCTTCTAGAAAAGAATGTAAAACAATAATTGTTTATATAAAAGTGCGTGAGAAAGTTCATTACAGGAATGTAAACACCAGAAGGCTTAGAAGAACTTAGAAGTTCTAAGCCAAAAAGCCAAAAGAGAACCCTCCATGGGGCCTCAGTCCATACATTTGTGGACAAGCTGAAAGCAAGGGTGACATTATGCTATGCTGTAACATGTAAAAACTGGGGTGAAAATGTGGGTTTCTGTTTCCTTTGGCCTCCTCTCCCAACCTCCTGGAGGAGAGGAATGAGGTCCCAGGGGGTCATTTCCAGAGCAGGCAGCCCATGGACACAGGCAGAGCTCTCTCTGAGCACCCAGCCAGTGTTTGAGAGCACGGGCTGGGGACCCCCGAGGCCGAGCAGGTCCCTGTGTGCCCTGGGCAGGTGGCCGAGGACGAGGTGAGCGATAACAGCGCCGAGTGCGTGGTGTGCCTGTCGGACGTGCGGGACACGCTGATCCTGCCCTGCCGCCACCTCTGCCTGTGCAA